TTTATAATTCATGACTGAAAGTAAAATATAATTTTAATCACGGTATAAATTTTATAATTCACGATTGAATGTTACACATGTAACAGTATTAATAAATATATTAAAAAGTAATAAATAAAAAAGGTAAAAGATTTTTGGAGGGTCAAATCCCAAACTAACTCATCAAGGATTCCAATTCATTAATTTTCCTCTTTAAATAATCAATTTTCAATGTAGCTTCAGCGTGTTGGTGAGAAAAAACAATTCTTGCGAAGCATTATTTTATCTGAAAAAACACTGTTGAACTTGGAAACTCAGATCCTTCCAAGATAAATTATCAAACCATCTTCACAAGAAATTATTCATCAAAGAAAACCCTTCAAAATCCGTCCTTTTTATCAGCTCACTCCCACTACTTATGTTTCAGCCATGGCATTCTACTCCTTGAGTGATACCAATTTCGTAACACCACCGATATTTTGACTCAGCTAAAGGTATCTCTTTCAGAAACCCTCAATATCTTGTATCCATTCTCCGGAAGATTTACTGATAACATGTTCATCCATCAATTATATATGGGTGTTCCATTTTTAATTATCATCTGGAATCAAATGTCGATTATCCTAATTTCTCAAGCATCATGAAATTGAGTCATTGAACAAATTGCTTCCATGCCAGCCTTTCTCCAAGGAAGCAAAAAATGAGGTTCCCCTCTTGGTTTGTCGAGTGACAATATTTGCTCGTGGTGGGATAGCATTAGGCCTCTGCCTATCTCACAAAATCACTGATGCAGAAACAGGCTTGATTGTCTGCAATGTTTGGAGTAGAATATCTCGTGGATCCCATCATAAATTTGTTGGTCATCCTAGTTTAGCTGAGGCATCCTTTATGTTTTAACCAAAAAAATCGAATGCCCCAAAATTAATTGTCGCTGATGTAAAACTTGTGATTCATGGAAGCTAATTACATTACAATGAGATTTACATTTGATGCGCAAGCAATAGTCAAACTAAAGGCTACGGTTAAAGAGGAAGGTGATGCTACTATACCGACACGAACTGAAGCTGTTTCAGGTTTTGTCTGAAAATGTTCTATGCTGCGTCTAGGGTGATATCGGAATCCTTGAAACCATCTATAGTAGTCCAAGCTGTGAACATGAGGCCTAGAGGGAAGTCTAATTCATTGGATGGTTCCATTGCATATTTGTTTTGGTGGGCAAGTGCACTTTCGAATCCAGCTCAGACAGGCACCAAGTTATCCGAATTGGCTAACTTGATGAAAGAATCCATTGCAGTTTTTGATGATGAATCCGTGAGTTCTTTACAAGGTGAAGAAGGGTTTCAAGCCATATATGAATACTTTAACCAGCTGGAAAAGATGTTTTCCTTGGAAAAACCTGATATTTTGGCCTTCACAAGCTGACTAAATACTGGCTTTTACAAAGTAGATTTCGGATGGGGCCCTCCTTGTTCACTTGCTCTAATTGGAAAAGTTGGTCATGAGTTTAGAAACCTCACTGTTTTTGTTGAAACAAAATGTGACAAAGGAATTGAGGCTTGGATAACCTTAGATGAAAAGGGAATGTCTGTCCTGGAAAAAAATCCTGAATTCTTGAAGTTTGCTTCCCTAAATCTGAAGATTTCAGGCCTTTGATTGTCTTTAAAAAGACTTAGATGATCATTATAATCTCCTCTAATCTGCTTCATGCATATACAAGTGTTAAATCTGCCAAAAAATGGTCTCTTGCTAGCTGGTTAGAGTCTTTAGTGTTTAGTCTTTCAGTGTTTTGAAGCATTATTGTCAGCTCAGCTGCCACGCTTGATCCCCTATTATCAGTATCAGTTTGTATCAGTAATCTACTACTTGGTGAAAATCATTTTCCATGTTCCATATTTATTTATCCACATTAGTATCCCTTGTTTTCATACTTCTACAAATTCATTATAATTTATGCTAACCAGGGAATAAGCCAAATTGCTTTGCTGCTTTGATTTTCTATACATGTTTTGAATAATTTTGGAAAGTATAATTTTTTAGTAAAGGCTAAAAGCAGGGTTTCCAATTAATTCTCTGATAGTTTTCCAATTGAATACTCCTTCGTATAAAGCAATTCCCAAAGCATCACGAAAAATTCCGTTGGGACAGTGATAAAATAATGGTGGCAGTTGTTCTGCTAGCTGTTCTCTGATCTGTGGGCCTGCCCTCTATCCTTCCTTTTTTCTTTCAGGTATATCCTGCAATGATAGCAAAAAAAAAAAGTTATCATATGTTTTTTTCCGAGTAAAAGATATATATTTGTTTTAGTTAAATGCAATCTTGGCTGTGAAGAAAGATGAAAATAGATAATAACGAAAAAAATGTAGACTTTACAAAATAAAAAAATAATTATAATATTTAATCATAAATAATTTTTTCATCCATAAAAATTTTCTTTCTTGTTATCAAATATTTACGCGCTTGACCTTTGCAATGATTTTGTCTTAAATAATATCGTGATGTATACTTTCTTTTTAACATTTTTTTCTTTAAAAAATTTATTCGGCCTATGGTTGAATTTTTTCCTTTTAACAGATTTTTTTTTATTTCTAATCTATTATTAACTTTTAATCTTTATCCGTTGGTCTTCTAATCTACAACCTCTCATAATCATGCATGTTCGTAAAAAAGTAGCATAAAATAATTAGTTCAAATTAATATATTCACTTTTATTCAAATCAGATCATTTTAATTCAGTAAAAAATTAAAATGACATATGAAAACCTGTGGTTAACAGTAAAATTTAGTGACTAGATATCAAATGATCAGTATCTTTTCGCCATCACCACCCAAATCTTACCAATAGCATCGCCAAATATTAAAAAAAAAAAAAAAAAACCCACAGCCACGCAGCCTACCAAATCGAAAAGCCAAACACCCGTTTCCACTTCCAAAATCATACCTAAAAAATCAACGAAAAAATATCACAAAACAAAACACAGTCCTCGCCGTAGGGAGGAATCCAGCGCCATAACCACCAGAGCTAAAGCCATCTTGCAAACAAAGAAACAAAAAAAAGACAAATTTAGTTTCATTTTCTTTTAAAACAAAAAAAAAATCAAATCAGTTTCTTTAAAAAAAAAAAAGAGAGGAGAAAAAGAGAAGTGACGACGGCGAAGCCTGGTATCGGCGGCTGGCGGCGAGAAGGGTGGCAGCGAGGCTCGCTGACGCCAGAACTGGGCACGGCTGGGGTGGGGCACCTGCCTTGTGGTTTCTTTTGAAGGAAAGAAGCAATGTTTTTTTCAATAGGGAAGCTGAAATGAATTTTTTTTTTTTTAAAAAAAAAGGGGCAATGAGGGAACCCGGCGGGTCAGCCCGGACCATGACCAAGAAACAACCCGACCCGTTCTTGACAGGATCCAACCTGCGACCCAGATCCATCTCACCTTATGTTTGGGCCTGTCCCCCTTACTGGACTCCTCTTTTTAGCAAGCCACAGATAAGATCCAAGTCAGCCCACCTCTTTAGGTTCTTTTGTTGAATTGGATCAACTAACGGTAAATTTATTTTAATTTAACTTATTCATTTATTTATTTATTTTTTGATTTTTTATTTAGATATATATTTAATTATTTCATATTGTTGATAAACAATAAATAATAAATATTTTTATATTTTTTATGAAATTATGTTTATAAATATAATGAAAATAAAAAAATTTATTATTATAAAATTTTCTATGAAAGGATTTTAGGAAATTTAAATAGTGATTCTTAAAAATTTTTTAAGTGAAATTTCTTTTAAAAATTATTAAAATATTAAAAAAATATTTTTAATATAAAGATTTTATTTTTTTAATTTAAATAATTTTCTTAAAAAGATGAAAATAATATATAAATATTTATAAGAGTATATATTTTTAAAAAATTAATTTATAGATAATTATATTATTATATAATTTTTAAAAATTAATAATAAAGTTAATTAAATGATAATTTTTTATGGTGAGATTTTGGATAATTCGAGTAATGATTCTTAAGAATATCTTAGGTGAGAGAATTTTTTAAAATATTATCAAAAAATCAAAATATTTAAAATGATTCTTAATATGAATAAATTTTTGTTTATTTTTTTAATTTTTAAAATGAACTTTCATATAATAATATCACGAATTAATTTATGTACATCATTTTTATATCAATTATAAAAGTAAACGAAAAATTTTCGAGGATGAAATCTTAAAAAAATTCGAGTAATGAGAGGTAAAAAAATTTATCTAAAATGCTATAAATGTATTTGAGTATTTAGAATAATTTTTGATAATGATTTCTTGTTTTAGTATAAAAAATAAAGTATAGAAAATATTATTTGATATTCTACAATCTATTTGTTAAATAAAAGTTTTGATGATAAATATGAAACATTGATAATTAAATTTTTAAAAATTTCGAGTAGAGAATCTTAAAAATTTTTTAGATGAAAAATTCCTCTTAATATTATTAAAGTATTAAAATATTATCAAAAAATTTTCAATAAATAATGTTCTTATTTATTTCTTCCAACTAGGATACAAAAGAAAAATATGTTTTTTTTTTACAATAAAAATATAAGAAAATTAATTTTTAAATATCAAAATTAAGACTATAAACATAATTAATTGATATCGTTTTAAACCATATCTAGAGGGTGCTAATTTTTTCAATGCGTAATGACTCCCAAATTAAACTCTGTTACACAGATAAATTATTTTTAATAAATTTTTAATTAATTTTTAAAATTTTAAAAAATAAATTTATAGACGATCAAGTTAATATAGCAAAAAAAAAATTGATGATTTGACTTTTTATTTTAAATTCATGGTGGTTTTGAAAAACCATTATAATGAATTATATCACTTCCAATTTACATTAATATTAATCTCATTATATCTTATTCTATTATTATTATTATTATATTATATTATTAAATTTATCAAACCAATCTCAATATAATCAATGTCTTTATCAATTTGATCTAATAGGTTTTAATCATGCTCTCACTCAATCATGACTCTCAAATTAGCTTATGTTAATCTAATCGTTTTGTCTAGTAGCAATCCCTCCTGCTTTGCTCCTATTTCTTATGACGATCTTCCAACGTTTCTTCTAATTAACAACTCAATTACAAATCTTAGTTTACATAAGTTTCATAGTCAAGATTTGAATTGTAGCGTAAACCCTCCTTTTTGAGTGAAGACTTTCATAGTCATGAACTCTGATTTTTTTTTTTTCCATTCAATTTTTTTGACGAGAAAAATATTTTATCATGCTGAAAAGCAATTTTTTTAACCAAAAACACAAAAACCTTTTTTTTTTTAACTGATTAAAAAAATTGATAATAGATAAAAAAAAAGAAATTACTGTTTCCATATTTTACAATAATATAAACTTTTTTTTTTCATTAGCATAACGTATTACATTCAAATTACTTTCTTTAATATTCTTTAACGAAACCCATTTTTTTTTTCAAATAGTAATGTCTTATTTGTTTTTTATTCACCTCTTTTTTGGCTTTCTTCTTCTTCTACTTATAATAGTCTCCATTTCACACGGAATTTGTTTATAGTCTTTTCATATGTCTATATACCTCTTTAAATATGTTCCATTAAAGTTATGATTCTTCTGTATTAATTAATTCTTTATCTTACTTTAATTTCTTTATTGTGTTCATCAACATCTTTATTTCAATCATCTCTTCTCTTTTGTATTTATTATTTGTAATGTTTTTACTTTATAAATTTTGGAATTTGATTTTGTAATTGACAAAGTGAAAGCCTTTTATGCCTGTAATGAGAAAGAAGTTTTTTAGAATTGGATAGGAGCATCTCTTTTCAAGTTTGATAAAATATTTTTATTTTTATAATTCTAAATTAAATTTGATAATTTAAAATACGATACGAAAAAAATATAAAAAAAGATATAAAAGTGATATGATTTAAAATTTTAATAAAATCATATCACTTTACGACAAAATAAAACAAATTTTATGTTTTTATGTTGACATGAAATTGTGATATATAATTTTTATATATATAATATAAATACATGAACTATTAGTATTTTATACTATCAATACTTTATATGATAGAAATATATAAATTGTTAGATCTATTCTAAATATTAATGATACAATTAATTTCAGAAATGGTTAACTATATACTTTTTTTTCTACTACTATTGCATAATTAGATTTATAATTTCATAAGAAATTTCATCGATTGTGTAAATTTAATTTTTCAAAACTTAAGTATTTTGACTCAATGGTAATATATGTACTCCACTCAAAGAATGAGTTCGAATATTCGTAAATAAAAAAATAAATTAGGTAGTTCATCGAATTATAATAGTAACTTCTATATACTCAAGTATTTTACTGGCTTGATTATTTTAAACTTACATATTTGTAGAGTGACTTAGTAATTAGATGGTCATGGAAACTATATGGAGAAATTCACTACTAGCTTGATGAAATTAAAGTGGCTTTTAACTACACTGTTCAAATTTCTTTCTCTTCCTTTTAACTTTGTTTGTGTCCACAATCACTCTTATAATAAAATGAAGAAAACTGCTTTTGCTACTCGATTAAACTTCTATACAATCACCTTTATGAGATCAATGGAGAAATAACTTCCTAGTTCATACTAGCTGGGATTAAAGTATCTTTAACTAGACTGATTTTTTTTTTAATTTGTTTTGTTGCTTGTGCACATTACTTTAATGACTTAAATGAAGTGCAAATTAAGCTTGTACAGGAATCAGAGATAAATTTTTCTCTATTTTTGCTTGGCCTTCTTTATTTTATTTAATTTTGTTTTGTTTTCTCATCAAAACCAGTTTTGTTGCTCATCTAAATCAGTTCCCTTTCCAATCTCTTCATTTTCCTTTAGTGACGGATATATCCTGCTTGAAAAACCAATGGATAATTCATGTTAAGTACTTTCTGCTTTGCCCTGTTCTATTCACCTTGCTCTCCAATGTGCTTTGGCCTTGAGGAGTAACGAAAATGACAAACTGGCTTTGCTTGCTTTGAAGAAACAGCTCGTTGGTGGTTCTTCTGGACCTCTAAGTTCATGGAACACTTCACTCCACTTTTGTGAGTGGGAAGGTGTTCGATGTGGTCGTCGGCACCAAAGAGTAATCAGCTTTAACGTGAGTAACTTGAACTTAGTCGGCATCATATCTCCTTCAATCGAAAATTTAACCTTCCTCAGAGAAGTTAACTTTTCTCATAATAGGTTGCAAGGAAGTATACCCAGGGAACTTGGTCATTTGAGGGGCTTCGTTTCTTGCTTTAAAGCATAATAATCTCCAAGGCATAATCCCTGTAGAGCTTCCAATTGCTCAAATCTCCAAGTGATTAATTTAAATTACAATAACCTTAAAGGAGATATTCCTTTCCTCTTAGGGAATATGAAGAATCTCATTGAACTTCAGCTTTCTTTCAATAATTTGATTGGGGGTATTCCATCTTCTTTTGGAAATCTTTCATCCTTGTTTGTCCTCTCTTTTGAAGGTAATAATTTGGAGGGAACTATACCTAATGCTCTGGGCAGATTCTCTAACTTGAAATACCTTTATATTGGTGGAAATAACCTGTTCGGTTCAATTCCTTCAATTTATAATCTTTCTTCCATGATGGTTATTGATGCGTCAGACAACAAATTATCTGGGAGGCTTCCACCCGAAATCGGCCTTTCTTGTCAAAAGCTTGAAGCACTATTTATCGGAATTAACCAGCTCACTGGAGCAATTCCAAGGTCAATATCCAATATCTCTAGCTTGCAAGTATTTGACATTGCCTTAAATGGTATCAGTGGATCAGTTCCTAATAATATGGGAAACCTTAAGAATCTTCTGGTGCTGACCATTTCTGCCAACGTCCTTGGAAGTGGGAAAGCAGGAGACCGTAACTTTCTCTCTTCTTTAAGCAACTGCAGCAGCTAGCAATCTTTGGCTATAGATTTCAATAGATTTGGGGGGTGATTCCGAACTCTATAGCTAATTTTTCAACCTGGCTCGAAGATCTTTTATTGGGAGGAAATCAGATCACTGGAAGTATTCCTGAAGGAATTGGCAATCTCGTCAACCTCGACAGGTTGGATATGGAGGGAAACTTTCTTGTTGGAGAAATTCCTATTTCCATTGAAATCTTCAAAATCTTGAAGTATTGTATCTTGCTTCGAATCGCATAACTGGTAAAATACTATTCTCCATTGGCAATCTCTCTAGAATATCTGAGCTTTATTTATCCAATAACAAATTTGAAGGAGCAATTCCTTTATCACTCAGGGATTGCAAAAAAATGCAGAAGTTAGACCTTGACCAAAATAAACTCAATGGGAGTATTCCAAATCAGCTATTGGGTGCTTTTGAAAGTTTGATTTATCTTAATGTCTCTCACAACTCTTTCACTGGCCTCCTTCCATCAGATTTGAGTAATTTAAAGAATCTCGTAGAATTATACGTTGATAATAACAGTTTCTTTGGTGAAATTCCCAAGGCACCTGGTGAGAGTTCAGGACTAACAATCCTCTCATGCAGAAAAACTCATTCCCAGGTAACATTCCTCAATCTTTTGCCTCCTTGAGATCTCTTGAATGCTTAGATCTCTCCAATAACAATTTGTCTGGCACCATACCACCTGAACTTCAAAAACTTCCATTTTTAGTGAGTTTAAACCTTTCTTTCAACCAACTAGAGGGTGAAGTGCCAAAAGGAGGGGTTTTTAAAAATGTTAGTGGATTTTCATTTTTCGGAAATGAAAAACTTTGTGGGGGGATTCCAGAAATAGAGCTTCCAAATTGCTTCACAAAGGCAAGGCAAAGGTTTTGTCAACCAAAGTCATTATTGCTAATGATATTCACCATTCTACTTGGCTCTATTTTGGCTGTGCTTCTTGTTTATCTTTCCTGGAGAAGGAAGTGTGGAAGTGCACTTATCCCCGTAGCTCTGTTCGATGATGGCTTCCTGCGTCTATCCTACAAGGAGCTTCTTCAAGCCACCCAAGGTTCCGCTTCTTCAAACTTGGTTGGCAGTGGAAGTTTCGGCTCTGTTTATAAAGGAGTTCTTCATCAACAAGAAAAGCCTGTTGCAGTGAAAGTATTTAACCTTCAAAACCGTGGGGCTGCGTGGAGTTTCATGGCAGAATGTATGGCTTTAAGAAAAGTTCGACGTCGAAATCTTCTCAAGATTATAACTTCTTGCTCAAGCATTGATTGCCAGGGCAATGATTGCAAGGCTTTAGTTTTTGAATTCATGCCTAATGGAAGTTTAGAAAGCTGGTTATATGAGCAACATGAGTCAAGGTATTTGAACCTTGTTCAAAGGTTAGGCATTGCTACAGATGTGGCCAATGGAATAGATTACCTTCATTATGATTGTGAGAGGCCGATTGTTCATTGTGATTTAAAGCCTACTAATGTCCTTGATGATGACATGGTCGCACATGTTGGTGATTTTGGATTGGCTAAGCTTCTGTCTAGTGACATCGGCAATCTGGGTACTGATCAAACAAGTTCCTCAATGATGAAAGGAACAATTGGTTACGTTCCTCCTGGTAAGTTTTTTTGTCCGTATGTAGTTTATCAATTCGGAAAATATCTCCATCAGATTATTATAGTTGGTTAAATTAATTGGCTTTTAATTAGAACATTCTGTAGTATTAAGGGTGGGGTGAATGCACGTGGTTTCTATTCAAAGATTTTTGAGTTTATAACAAATTATTGCAGAATATGGCATGGGTGGCATGGTATCTCCAGAAGGTGATATTTACAGCTATGGTATTCTACTCTTGGAGATTTTCACAGGAAGGAGACCAACAGATGATATCTTTCATGATGGCTTAATCCTTCATAATTTCTGTAAAATGGCACTGCAAGAAGGGTTGAAGGAGATTCTTGATTTTCGCCTGCTTGAACAAATTTATCAATACGGGCAGAGACTTAGAAGTCGACCAAACTTGGAAGGACAGATATGGGAGTGCCTTGTTTCTTTCACTAAAGTTAGACTGGTATGCTCTGCAGAAGTACCTGGTGATAGAATGAGCATAAAAGATGCTATCAAGAACTAAATGCAACTAAGGCAAGGTTACTTCGGACGGGTTTATAAAGGGGACAGAAAATAGGAACAGAGGCAACAACTGCTGAATTGGAATCAAGTTGTACTCATTACATCGATTATGTTTTGTATTCAGTAATTGATATATTTCATCGTAGTATGGTTTCAAAGTATTTAAATTATTACTGTACGCAGAGACATTTAGAGATTGGGCTTTAGAAAATGAAATATATATATATATATATGTATATATCTGTGTGTGTGTGTGTGTGTGTGTGTGTGTGTGTGTGGTTGTGTGAAAGTGTCAATGTCTTCCTTAGCAAACATTTTTCCTTCTTTCAATATACACTCACTGAAAATGTCATCTTATGCCATTTTTTCTTATGAGAAACAATTAAAAAGATACGCAGAGGACCTTGAACTAAAGTCACATGCATGCCCTGTCCTAGACTGCAATAAACAAGGAAGTCTTCTCCCTCTTTAGTCATCATTGTACCAATATAAACATGAACTACAACTCTATTTACCATTCTTACTTGATCCTCCTGCAGCAGCTGTCAGTTTCATATAATAACATCTTAACGGCAGACCAACGACCTTGCTGGACTCCTAGTTTAAGTGTTCATGGTTCAAATTGAATCCTGGTAGCCTCAACTACCCAAAAAAAAAAGAAAAATCCTAGAACTATCATTTGCTCCTCTGAACCAACTTAATTTCAACATCACAGAAAAAGTTAACAATCATAAATTAATGTACACAAGCTTTTATAGAAACTTTGTTTCAAATTACCCTAAAATCCACCATCAGAAATCTCCCCAAAACATCAGGAGTCATCTGCTTAAGCTAAAGCTATCAGTCATTTCAAAGCTGTAATCTTTCGGCTAAAGCTAAAGGGAATCTAGAAAACCAGTTGCATTCACAATCAAATTGCAAAAATCAACCACCAAATTCACAACAATATTTGATCAAATTATCACTTCACTAAAGCAAAAATTCAACTTTATATATATAAAAAAGGCACAAATTGATAATCTGATCATTACCAAACAGATAGAGTATTTTCACCTTACATAAACACAAACATTAAAAAAAAAAAGAGACGACAGAATCACAACACTCAATTACATAAATTTAAATTTAGAAAAGGAAAGGAAAAGAAAATGGATCTGACCGTCGGATCATGATCATTTGCTAAACAACGATCTCAGAATCCGTAACCGATCTGGAGGACTAACTATGGACCATTTGATCGAGTTGATCCAGACCTTCTTCTCTTTCTACGAAGCAATCAATCAATCTCCTTTGCTTCAACTCTAAGATCAAATAAACACTCAAAACACCACAACAATTGAAATAACCTTTCCTCTTTCAAATACTAATTAACGATTTAATCTCACGATGGCATTGAGGACTCTAGGCCCAATCTTTATTTCCCTTCGATGGTTTTGATTATGTAAAAAACATGTGTTTAAAGGAGCCCAAACTAACATTTTTTTATTTGAAAAAATATTTGATGGGTGATTATGAATTAGAAATTCTCTTACGAAAAAACGGCAGTTTTACGAATAAAAAATATTAAAAATATTATTTTTAATTTTTAATTTATTATTATTTTTAAATAATTATATAAATCAATTAAATTATACTCAAAAATCATTTTACCGACTCCCTTAATCGAATAACAAAGAGTTCAAATCCAATCACTTTGGTTTGTGATTTTAAGAAAATAACAAACTTCATAATTTCATGTACTTAAAAAAAGAAACACTAATTTCTGTTGACATTCATACTAAGCGCGACAGCCATATCACTTCCAGGACAATGTTTCTCTTTTTTTTTTTCGTGATTTTGTTTTGAAACTAAGTGCCTAATGGCGTGTCCAAGCTGTATCAGATTAAAAAAATTAATAATTTTTATGATATCCGATTGAGTCAGAAACGTATTCTGGCATGTGGAAGATCGGGACACCGGCACGCAGAGTTCAGCAGTGTCATTGCTTCCTATTTTGCAATGGCGACAATATTCTGGTGGTTTGCATTTCTCATCATCAGTTCTTATTAAGTATGGACTTTTTCCTCTATTCTCCGGAGGAGGTATAGTGGCTTACTGTTAGCTCAAGTTGAACAATAACATCTTCGTGTCTTGATTTTAATCCAATTTTATCTTTATATTTATTGACTTTTTATCTCACATAGGCTGAGAAAAAAATTTAAAAAAATCAAAAATTAATTTAAAATTATAATGTTCAAATTAATTTTCTTTTATTTGATTCAATTTATATTCAGATATTTTATATTTTAATATAATTCAATTTTTTGGATTTGAAAGTGAAAAAAATAAAAATATGTGCATTAAATCAAATTATTTATTTTTATTAAAAATTTATATTTGATGCACAGTTAATATATAAATGTTATATACTGTCAATAAATTACACAATGACACCTCATCAAAAATTAATTTTAAAATTTAAAATTTAAAAAATAAATACATTTAATCCTAAAACTATTTTTGAAATTAATTTTTTTAATGATGTGTTACTTATAGTTTATAATATTATACATTGACAGTATATCAAATATAAACTTTTTTATTAGTTTTTATATATTTTTAATTTTTATAAAATAAAATAATTATTTTATATCTAAATTTATTTAAATATATTTAAAATAATATAAAAATAATAGCTAAAAAAATTAAAAACAATTAATTTTTCAAAACGATATATCAACCCAAACTGAATAGATAAAATTCAATTCTAATCAATTCAATGATGCAATGATATCATAAGGTTTTCTTAGGCAATTTCAATTATGTATATGGTGCCATATATTTTTGGAGATTTTTTCTGCTCTAGCTTTGAAGTATGGCGTTTCATTCCAATTTTTTCCTTCAAGAGAAATGAAATTTGTAATTATGTATATCTAGCCATGTTTCTTCTTTTGTTACCTTGGAAAGGCCATACCTTTCCTTTTCGAGAGAGGGACTGTAGCCAGTTGTTTATAAGTGCATATTATTGGTGCAGGTCTCCAAATATGGTTCTTTAAAAGTGTAGAAGCTGATGAATGTTGAACAATATTCACATGTGATGCACGTAACCTCCACGGTAAGAATCTATGCTTTTTATCATCTAAACGTTTGTTGACTTACTTAAATGAAATGAAACATGTATGGTTTTACTTTAGGTAGTTTTGCGTCAAGGAAATACTTACTGGTTCCAACTTGTTTTTTTCTTCCTTAATATGACAGAAAAGAAAAGGAAAGAAATCCTTCTATTTTGATACTTGCTACTGTTCATTTACGTAGATTGTAGATATGAAAAGGCCTTGATTTGATAAATTCTTTGGGTCTCAAGTATCTCTATAGATAACCAGATGAATATAAATATTAAACTCTGTAAATCATTTTTGGTAGCTTCAAAATTGCCCTTTAACTTAAAAAGAAAAGAATCAAAACTTTTTATTATATCACACATAACTTTTTGTGTTGAGTTTTGATGCCAAGATATTCTTGAAAGAACAAAAAGTTGGAAGAGAGCGATCAGATGCAAAAGCAAGGAGCATTTTTTATATTTGCACTTTGACGTGTAAATTAGAAATGAGGATGAAAAAGGTAGGAAGGGGAGAAAGATAAATGGTTAAGATAAGATGGAACCTAGGGTGATAATGCTTGAAAGCCTATATTTATAGATGAGAGGTAGTGGCCAATGAGAGATAATAATGACATGATAGAGCTAATGTGATACTGAATGTGTTATGTTAGGTCGGCACAAATGTCTGATATGCTAGGGGCCTCTAATGAAGAAAAAAGTCATTATGCCTTTTGGACTACTAAATACCTCAGACATTCTATCCTTCCACCAAGTAGTCAGAATATTAGACTGTTAGGTGTGTAGTTAGTTCATTTCACAGAGGTCGACTAGCTTAAAGAAGCCACAAGAGATTCGATTTCCTATGGCTGAGGTTGATACGAAGGTCAGTATTAAGAGACAATTAGCCTTTTACTACAGTTTGAGGTGATGTGGTATGGGTCGATCTGGTGTGAGTCTAATCTTGTGCATGCGTTTTAGGTTGAGTGCATGGGTTATTTGAGGGTTATTGAAGTGTCATTTATCTAGGATGATTTGAGATTAAGATGAGAGTTCGTTTGGTTGATGTGGGACTTAAATATTTTTTTAGAAGTTTAGATTTGAGTCATTGTTTTGAATTCTAATGATGAATTGACAGCCAATTCATCCGATTGGTTCACCATAAGGAGCCTTTCGGTCTGACCGGGTTTAGCAGTTGATGTTGCATTAAATGAGGAAAGAAATAGTTTAGATGGTAAAATTTAAAGTGGGGAAAGTGAAAAGATGTCCTCTAACAATACTTTGACATGTGGCATAATTTGGGTCGTTTATTTGATTTGAGACGCGGCTATATAAAGGGCTGTTAAGGCCTTTATTTTCCACTTTTCTATTTTTTTGCTTTCCATCCACTCCAAATTTTTTAACGTCAAAAGCTTTTCTTATTTTTGACCTTATTGTTTTTTTCTTTTTATTCATTTTCTCCATTTTCCTTAGTACATTCTCTTTTTATCATGTCTTCTAGTTTTAGCTCTAGGGAGATCAAAAGTTTCAAGGTAAAGCCTAAGGGGTTAGCTCTAGTAAAATGACGATGACCTAGTCCTACCAATTATCATAGGTTGGGATTATCACAATAACGTTTACTAGCTTAACCTCATAACCAAGAAAAATAGTGATATAATGATAAGAATGCCTGGGCAAGAAGAGAGCAGGTCTTAAGCACGGAAGAGCCATATGCTCAAATAAAATTTGATTTAGAGAATTGACCTTTTTTCTTTGTCTTTTAAGTCGATTTATCTTTTATGGCTAACCTTTCCTCATTTTCGGCTACTCTCTCTTTTAGGGTCTAGTCTCATTAACTTTTTTTTTTTTGTGCTCTCCTACCCATAAATGCTTTCATTGTTCTTTTATTCCTCCTCAGTTAACTTTTGTTGACATCACCTTTTCTC